ACTTTTTACCAAAAATGACAAAAATATTCACCAAAATTAGAGAATTGAAGATATCATTACAAAATGAACAAATCTGAGAGAGGTCCACATGTAGTACCTATATATGTAATATCAAAGTAATTGCACTTGCGGTTTTTAACAAGAAGTCGAAAATATCACTTTTTACCAAAAATGACAAAAATAGTCACCAAAATTAAAGAATTGAAGATATCAACATGAAATGAACAAACCTAAGAGAGGTCTACCCAAGGTACATATACACCAAGTATCAAAGCATTCAGGCTTGTAGTTTTCAAGAAGAAGTCGAAAAAGTAAAACATTGACACGGACGACGACGACGGACAATCACTCATATGATAAGCTCCGCTCGACAAAGTCAACAGCGGAGCTAAAAAGTAAACATTGACACAGACGACGGACGCAGGACGACGGACAATCACTCATATGATAAGCTCCGCTCGACAAAGTAGACAGCGGAGCTAAAAAAAAGATATATACAATCATCATAAAAATACCACAAAGCACTCAGGCAATACAAAGTCACATCAGTCAATTAAATCACAATACTGCCTTTGTTCGTACTTGACATTCTTGTGAGATAATTTTACATACCGTGATTGCATACACAAAATAGAAATTTGCAACAACATCCACTGAATAAAATCCACATGAACATGTAAAATAACAATAGAACTCATTGTTTCTCTGCCAAGTTTGTGAACTTAAAAACCAGTGAAAAGGTATATCAGTATCTGATACGCCATTGAAGCCAACTACTCACCAGAATATACTCAGATCTGACGTCTCCACTAACATTTCATCTAAATAGTCAATCATCTTCGTATGGAAGCATATTGTGTTCAATGTCTTGCCAAGATCGGGATGTTCGCGTAATACCAATGCTGCCTTGCTTACGCTGGTATAAGCCTATAAGAATGGCAATATGGGTAAGTATTTTATGATTACAACAGAACATTTTTGTACACAGCCTTAAAGAGTCAAATTGAAACATTATCAAAGAAAGCTTAGAAAGAACTCCCGTGTGCTGAGAGTTTTGGAGACACATTAAAAATTAATTCAAAATTACTTATACTTGAGATATTGATGGAATAGCTGAAAACTAATTATGCAAATAAGGTAACTAATATGAACAGATTTAGGTGTAAAACTAATAAGGTCTGCACAATGTACCAAGTTTCATTGGAATGTGATTAGAACCAAAAAAATATTAATTATTATGCTAATTAGAGAATTAATATGAACAGATTTTAACCCAAAATTAATCAGGCTGTCTATTGTCCTAGAGCATTTATGTACCAAATTTTATTCAAATGTGATGATCAATACTTGAGATATTAGTATTAATTAATTATGTTAATTAGGTGATTAAGAAGCATAAATATTTACCAAAAACTAATATGGTGCATAGTCTTAGGTTCATTGAAATGTGATGGGTACTATTTAAAAGTTTCATTGAAATCCAATGAGTGGTTTTTAGACATCAGTGCAACAGCCATAGAACAGCAAAAAATTAACTAATTATGCAAATTAGGTAATTAATAGGCACAATTTTTTATCTCAAAATTAATCAGGTCTCTGCATAGTCCTAGAATATCTATGTCGCAAGTCTCATTGAAATGTGATGATTAGTACTTGAGATATCAGGTGAAAAGCTGAAAATTAACTAATTATGCTAATAAGGTG